TCAATTTCAACAATAATATTTTTTCCTCCTATTCTATAATCTAAATTTATTTGATTACCTACACTTCTTATTAATTTTCTGACAGCTTTTTTTGAAACAGATGTCATTAATGAAATATTTTTTATAGAAATATTATTTAAAAAAAAAACAAGATCTTATTAACATCCTCCCAATGTAATTTAGTATTATAATATGGTTTTTTAGTCAAAAAAACTCCACTTTTTCTGCATTTTCTTCTGGTGCATCTGATAATATTCTTGTCACCTAAAACTTGTTTTACTCTTCCTAAACAAGCATTGCAAAACATCTCTTCTAATTTTATACCAATTTCCTCTTCAAAAATTGCATTAATTTCATTAACATTTTTTTCTCTTCTTTTATTTTGCATTAAAAAATAGGGGTTAAAAAAAAAATTAAAGACCCTCAAATGCGTCAGTTATAGGGTCCCCAGCTCCAAAAGTTCTAATTTTTCCCCCACCAAACAGTCTTGAAACATAAAGATTTTAAGTTGGGGTTTGACTAATGTATAATTTCTTTTTCTCAAAGTAATTTTTCTCTTTATAGCACGTCAACTTTCTTCAATAGTATTCGTGTGAATGCCGGTCTCTAAATCTTTAAAGTTTTTACTATGGTTAACTGTATAATGTTTGTATCAAAGAGATGTTAACCCTCTATAGCCTTTTAATTTATTAGTATGTATAATACTTCCTTTGGCAACGTATTTGGTAATTAAAGTATTAAGAGCTAATCTATCTCATTTTTTCAAACAAAATAGATTAATGCGTCGTTCGGGTGTTCTCTCAACCATTCCGAGTACCCAAACGCCGTCAACACCACGACCACGGTTATATTTCCGTTTGTAAAATTTGCTTTCGTCAGTTTCGACGGCAATGCCTTTTTCGCCCATCATCTGAGGTCTTGTTAAATAGTGTCCGAGTTTTTTAAATATTTTTCTGATTGCCTTTTTGCTAATACTAGTTATTGAACATATCGTTTTGACATAATTTGTATATAAAATTAAAAAAATAACTCTGCAAATTATTTTCCAGCATAATTTTGCATTATAAAACGGGGGTTTTTAAAAAGAAAAGCCTTTCTTCTGTACTTTTTCTTTGTGCACAAAATGGGGTCTGACAATTATAAAAAATGTGCTCCGCTGAGATGCGAAATTACTACGGACTTACCTGCCTCAAAAGTACAGAAAGATAGTAAAACATCTTTACTGGAAGGAATAAAAAGTAGTTATGATACTTTAAGAG